TTTATTTGACAGAGAGAGACACAGTGAGAGAGGGAACACAAGCAGGGGGAGTGGGAGAAGCAGGGGGAGTGGGAGAAGTAGGTTTCCCGTGGAGCAGGGAGACTGATGTGGGGCTCGATCCCGGGACCCTGGGATCATGACCTGAGCTGAAGGCAGACGCTTAACGACTGAGCCACCCAGGCGCCCCAAACCTGCTAGTAAGTCTTGTGAATCATTTTAGTAAACCACCTAACTTGAGAATGATCATGGGACTCCTAAACCTTAAAAAATTAGGCTAATTTCATACCCAACCACATTGATAGTAAATTTTTATGAGAGCTACTAGTTTACCAGTTGATTTTCTTAAGTGTTCTAGATCACATTGTCTGCAGAAAATGTGTAATATTTTTCTCTTCCTATTTATAGGCTTTAATTAATGTTAGGCCCTCTATATGAGTCTATCAGTATACTTATGTTTCTAGTCTTTTTTTTTTTAAGATTTTAAATTTATTCATTTGAGAGAGACAGAGCGAGTAAGAGCACGAGCAGGGGGTAGGGTCAGAGGGAGAGGGAGAAGCAGGCTTCACACTGAGCAGAGCACCCAACACGGGGCCTGATTCCAGGACCCCGGCAACATGACCTGAGCCAAAGGTAGATGCTTAACCGACTGAGCCATCCAGCCCCTTATGTTTCTAGTTTTTTAAAAAATATTTATTTGGGCGGGGAGGGGCAGAGGGAGAGGGAGAGAGAGAGAACCTCAAGCAGACTCCCTGCTGAGTGGGGAATCCGACACAGGGCTCGATCTCACAACCCTGAGATCATGACCTGAGCTGAAATCAAGAGGTGGATGCTTAACCAACTGAGGCACCCATTATGTTTCTTTTTTTTTTTTTTTAAGATTTTATTTATTTGAAAGAGAAACAGTGAGAGAGAGCATGAGAGGGGAGAAGGTCAGAGGGAGAAGCAGACCCCCCGCCAAGCCGGGAGCCCGACGCGGGACTCGATCCCAGGACTCCGTGATCATGACCCGAGCCGAAGGCAGTCACTCAACCAACTGAGCCACCCAGGTGCTCTATGTTTCTAGTTTTAATGGGAAAGTTCTCAATGTTCTACATTAACTATGATGTTTTTATACTTTTCCAGTAAACATTTTAATATTAAATTTTCTTCTGCTTCTAGTTGACTGAGAGTACTTATCAGTAATGAATGTTAAACTTCATTAATATTTTTTCATTTATTGAGATAATCATATAATTTTTTCTTTTTTAAAAGATTTTATTTATTTATTTGAGACAGAGAGAATGAGAGACAGAGAGCATGAGAGGGAGGAGGGTCAGAGGGAGAAGCAGACTCCCTGCCGAGCAGGGAGCCCGATGCGGGACTCGATCCCGGGACTCCAGGATCATGACCTGAGCCGAAGGCAGTCGCTTAACCAACTGAGCCACCCAGGCGCCCTAATTTTTTCTTCTTTAATGAAGCAGTCTGCATCTCTTTTAGGTATAGATATTTGATTATCCTTTTTTTTTTTTAAAGATTTATTTATATATTTGAGAGAGAGAGAGAAAGAGTGTTTGTGTGTGTTGTGTGTGTGTGAGAGAGCAGGGGGAGGGGCAGAAGGAGAGGGAGAGAGAGAATCTCAAGCATACTCCTAGCTGAGTATGGAGCCCAGTGTGGGGCTTGATCTCACAACCTTGAGATCATGACCTGAGCCGAAATCAAGAGTCAGATGCTAAACCGACTGAGCCACCCAACTGCCCCAGCCCTTTATTTCTTCTGTGGTTATTCTTGCTTTCTGATTTTTCTTGATTCAAGTTTGGGAATTTTCATTTTTCCAAGAATATCATCCATTGTCTACTTTTTATTTCGTTAAAAATTTTTTTAAATGAAATAACCAAGAACTGGTAATACTAAGCATGATTTTTCAAAAAAGATTCTTTTATATGGACATACTGAATTTAAATAATAATTGTTAATATTAATAATGTTGTGGTCATTGTCACTTAACATTAAACAAGTATCTGCTTTATCTATGCCTCCTCTTATACTCAGGCTTTCCCTCTTTGATTATGAAATATATATTGCACAGAACTCTTTGAGGTGCTGCATTAAATGTGATTCTTAGACACTTGGTTGCAGTATTTCTTTCTAACATACTCTGTCAATAAATTTGGTACCCATCTGTGCAGATATCTCTAGGCTTTGCTTTTTAGCTATCATGTCTGACCCGGTTTGGGTAGATATTTTGCCCAAATGGTAACAACAGTATTTCCCATCCAAAGTGCTCTTCCAAAACCTTGCCACTCCCCCATTAAGAGGTGGAGTTATGTTCCTTCCCCTTGAACTTGGGTGGGCCTTGTGATTGCTTCAACTAATAGAGTACAGTGGAAGTAAATGCTATGTGACTTCTAAGGCTAGGTCATAAAAGGCAAGGCAGTTTTCACTTGGCTCTTCTTAGGAGGCTCACTGTTAGAAACAGCCACTATGCTAATGAAAAAGCTAAGGCCACATGAAGAGGTCTAACAGGAAGAACTAAGGACCTTAGTCTTCAGCCCTGGCTGAGCTGCCAGCCAACAGTCTGTACCGACTTGCCAGCAACATATGTGAGCCACCTTGGAAACTGATCTGCTAGCTCTCAGTAGAGCTGTCCCAGCTGATCCCATGTGAAACAGAGACGAACCCTCCCTGCCTGAGTCCTGATCAGATTGAAAATTTGTGAGCACAATCAATGACTATTTTTGTTTTGTTTTTATTTTTTTTTAAGATATTATTTATTTGAGAGGAGAGACAGTGAGCATGAGCAGGGGTGGGGGAAGGGCAGAGGGAGAGGCAGAAGCAGACTCCCCACTGAGCAAGGAGCCTGATGCAGGGCTCAAACACAGGACCCTGGGATCATGACCTGAGCCAAAGGGAGCCCCTTAACTGACTGAGCCACCCAGGCGCCCCCACTATTTTTGTTTTAAATCACTGTTTTGTTATGCAGCAATTGATAACTGATATAAAGATAAATCCAAAAAGTAGTTGAGAGTGGGAAGCATACTGCTTCTGAATTTCTGTCCATTCATTTAAAAGCTTTCTTCTCATGGCTTCCACGAGACCACACTCTCCTGTTTGTTTTCAACTTCACCTTTGTCCCTTTGCTGGCTTATCATTCTTTATGACCTGTAAATATTAATGTTCCCAAATGCTTAATCCTGGGCCCTGTCCTTTTATCTGCCCTTTTCTCTAGCTGTATTTTCTCCCTAGGAGATCTCATACAGACTTGTATCCTGGTGACTCCAAAACCTATGTCTCTATATCTACAGCATTCCTCTAAATTCCTGTCTGGTATTTTGAACTGGTCACTTCATATCTCCATTTGAATGTTTAGCAGCATTCTCTAACTTAGTATGTTCAAACCAGAATCACTTTTTTTTTTTTAAGATTTTTAAAATTTATTTATTTGACAGAGAGAGACATAGCGAGAGAGAGAACACAAGCAGGGGGAGAGGGAGAGGGAGAAGCAGGCTTCTCGTGGAGCAGGGAGCCTCATGTGGGGGTCGATCCCAGGATCCTGGGATCATGACCTGAGCTGAAGGCAGACGCTTAACGACTGAGCCACCCAGGTGCCCCCAGAATCACTTTTTAAAAAGAGTTACTTATTTTGAGAGAGAGGGAGAGAAAGGGTGTGCGAGTGGGGGGGGGGAGGGGCGAAGAAGAGGGAGAAGGAGAAAGAATCTTGAGCAGACTCCCTGCTGAGCACAGACACCATTGTGGGGCTCCATCTCACAATCCTGAGATCATGACCTGAGCCGGAATCAAGAGTTGGATGCTTAACCAACTGAGCCACACAGATGCCCCTCAAAGCAGAATTATTAATCCCACATCCCCTGACCTATTTGTCCCCCAGTCTCCATTAGTCTCCACCAATCACCCAGTTGCTGATTGTAAAAAAATTAGGATTTATCTTTGATTGCTTTTTTTTCTCTCACTCCCTGCATTCAAACCATCAGCAATATTAAGACTGGTGTGTAATCTTCTGCATCTCTCACAGTTCAGATATACAAGCACTTACATAAATATGCATATATATGGCTTTTGGCTTTACTGAAATAGACTCCAAACACATATTACTCTGGAACTTACTTTTTTCAGTTGACATCCCCATATCAGTAAATACAGATTCAACTGTTTTTTTCCTCCCAATTTCTTAATGGATCTCCAGATATATACAAACATCTGTAGTTTATATATATATACACAGGACCACAATATATTTACTGGGGTATGGTGGTAATTTTCCCTTTTTCTTTTCTTTTCTTTCTTTTTTTTTTTTAATGATTTTATTTATTTGAGAGAGCATGCATAAGTGGGGGGAGGGGCAGAGGGAGAGGTAAAGGGTGAGAAGCAGACTCCCCAGTGAGTGCTGATCCTGACATGGGGCTCAATCCCAGGACGCTGAGATCATGACCTGAGCCAATGTTAGATAGATCCTTAACCGACTGAGCCACCCAGGCACGCCCCCCCCTTTTTCTTTTTTTCTGTCACTTCCTCCTTCCTTCATTTCTCCCCTCTCAAATCAAGATAACTCAACTAAACAGCATATATCCACTCGTATCTTTCCCCATACTCATAAAATCAAACAAATATTTGCATGTATATATAAGTTTAGGTGTCTTGCTTTTCCCATTCAACAAACCCCAAAACCTCATGGAAACTCCTCCAGAATATCTAGTATAGTGAAAATTCATTCTTTTAAATGACAGTATAATATTCCTTAGTATAGATATTGTAAAATGTATTCCTCCATTCCCTTATTTATGAGCATTCTCTTTATTTCCCCCAACACAAGTAATGATACCATTAATATCTTTGTACATTTATTCTTTGTACTAGTACTTTTATTTCTATAAACTAGAATTTCAGAAATAGAATTTGCTGGTCAAAGGATACATACAAGTTTTTATTAAATAGTAAATAGATACATTTATTAATCAAGCAGAGGGTAGACAAAATAACAGTAAAACAAGTATCTGTGGACTTACCACCTAGTTTAAGAAAGAGAGCTTTAGTGATTCTCTGAAGCCTCCTTGGTGCTCCCATGATTCCTTTTCCCTTTAGAAAAAAAAAAAATCCTGAATTTTTTTTACTTTTCCTTATCATGCTTAATTCCCTGCATAATCTGTTCTTTAATTTTGACTTATAAAACTTCATATAAATGAAAACAAAATTATATATTCTTTTATGTCCTTTTTTTTCCTGGTCATTATATTCCTGAGATTTAACTATTTTGATAGGTGGAGCTGAAAAGTTCATTCATGTTCAATGCTGTTTAATCATTCATTATATAAATGCATGGTGTTGTATGGACATTTGCCAATGCTGCAATGGACATTTCTGAACATGGCCTTTGGTGTACACATGCAAGTTTCTGTAGTTTGCATATCTAAGATACATGCAATTGTTGGTTGTGGGGTATGCCCATATTCAACTTTATAAGGTAGCGCTAAATTGTTTTCCAAAGCCATTACACCAATTAACATTCCCAATAACACTGCATTATGCCTGATTTTCCTGAACCATCTTTTCAAATGTTTCTTAGCTATTAATTTTTCCTCTTTTGTGGTATTTGCCAATTTAAAAAATTGGGTTGCCTTTTTCTGATTTGCATGAATTCATTGTATATTCTAGATCAGTGGTGTCCAAAAGAAATAAAACGCAAGTCACAGAGGTAATTTAAAATGTTCTAGTAGCCACAGTTAAAAAAGTGATAAGAAACAGGAAAAATTAATTTTATTTTATTTTTTAAAGATTTATTTATTTTAGAAAGTGGGAAGGGGCAGAGGGAGAGAGAGAATGCTGAAGCAGTCTCCTCACTGAGTGGGGAGCCTGACATGGGTCTCTATCCCAGGACCCTGAAGATCATCACCAGAATTGAAATTAATAGTCTGCCACTTAACTGACTAAGCTATCCAGGCATCCCTGGGCAAAATTAATTTTAATAGTTTTTTTACTTAATAAAAATCTACTTACCAAAATATTATCATTTCAAGATGTTCATACAAAAATTTTTTTTGTACTAACTCTTTGAAATCTGGAATCTATTTCATACTTACAGCACATCTTACTTTGGCCTACCTACATTTTAAGTACTCAAGAGCCACACGTAGTTAGTACCTACTGTACTGGGGTATAGCTCTAGATACTTTTGTTGTTGTTATAGGTGTTGCAGACCTTTCCTTCTAGTTTATGATTTTTCCTTTCACATTCTGTCTTTTGAGGACAAAGTTTCAAGGGAGCTGAATTTTGACTTCTTTGGTTTGTACTTTGAATTTTAAGAACATTTTTTCTATCACATGGGCATGTCCCAAAGATACTGTATTATTCTATATTTTATTCTAAATCTTTTCATGTTTTGCCTTTTTTTTTTTTTTTAAAGATTTTATTTATTTATTTGACAGAGAGAGAAACAGCAAGAGAGGGAACACAAGCAGGGGGAGTGGGAGAGGGAGAAGCAGGCTTCCTGCGGGGCAGGGAGCCCCATGTGGGGACTCGATCCCAGGACCCTGGGATCATGACCTGAGCCGAAGGCAGACGCTTAAGGACTGAGCCACCCAGGCGCCCTCATGTTTTGCCTTTTATATTGAAGTCTTCAATCCATCTGGAATTGACTTTTGGGTTAAATATGAAATAAGGACCCATTTTTACTTTCTCTCCAGATGGATAACCAATAAGATAACCCAGCTCTAACAGTCTGGTGTTGATGTTGTTTTTGTAAATGGTATGTTTTATTTGCTTGTGCTTTCTATTTGCTGGATTATGGAAATGCAGTTGATTTTTTTATCTGAAAAACTTGAAGAATTGTCATTAGTTCTAAGTATTATTCTGTAAATTATTTTGCGTTTTCTAAGTAGACAATCATACCACCTGTAAATAACAACTGTCCTTTTCGTTCCTTACATGTTTTATTTCTTTTTTAAAAAAGATTTTATTATTTATTTGAGAGAGAGAGAGGGAGAGGGAGGAGCAGAGGGAGAGGGAGATAATCTCCAGCAGGCTCTTGACTCTGCACTGAGTGCGGAGCCCTATGGGGGATTGATCTCATGACCCTGAGGTCGTGACCTGAGCAAACCAAGAGTTGGAGGTTTAACCAACTGAGCCACCCAGGAGCCCCTTACATGTTTTATTTCTTTTATTGTTTTATTTTGCTGGGTAGGACTCAAATACAATGTTGAGTAGAAATGATGACAGCAAACATTTTGTTTTATTTTTAATTTCAAGAGAAATGCTTTATTTCACAATTATGTATAATGTTTGCTCTAGGTCTTTATCAGGTTAAGGAAGTTTTCTTCTATTCCTGATTTGTTAAAGGTTTTTTGGTTCCTCTTTCTTTTCTTTTTTTAAAATTAAGAATGGGGGCACCTTGGTGGCTCAGTTGGTTAACCATCTGCCTTTGGCTCAGGTCATGATCCCAGGGTCCTGAGATCAAGTCCCACATCAAGGGTCCTTGCTCAGTGGGCCTGAGAAGCCTGCTTCTCCCTCTGCCTGCCGCACCCCCCCTGCTTGTGCTCTTTCTCTCTCTCAAATATATAAAATCTTTTAAATAAAATAAAATTAAATTAAGAATGTTTACTGAATTTTAACAAATATTTTTGCCTGCATCTAAAAGTATTTGGATGTACCATCTTTATTAGCTTTCAATTGCGGCTGTAACAAAGTATTACAACCTTAGAAGCTTAAAACAGCACACATTTATTTTTTTTTACAGTTCTGCGCACCAGAAGTCCAGTATGGGTCTAACTGAACTAAAAACAGTGTTGGCAGGCTACATCCATTCTGGAGGTTCTGGGAGAAAATCTAGTTCCTGCTCATTTGGGTTATTGGCAGAATTCAGTTCCTAGAGGTTGTAGGACCACAGTCCCTGTTTTCTTGCTGCCTGTAAAATGAGCGAGGGTCATTCTCATCTTGCAGAGGCTGCCACATTTCTTGGCTCATGGCCCTTTTCCTCCATTTTCAAAGCCAGCAACAGGCAGGTTGAGTCCTTGTCCTTTTCATCTCTCTGACCAACACTTTTGCCTTCCTCTTCCATTTTTAAGGATTTGTGATTAGATTGGGACCAGATAATCCAAGATAACCTCTCCATCCCAAGGTCTGGAACTCGATCACATCAAAGTCCCTATTGTCACACAAAGAAACATAGTCACAGGTTCCAGGGACTAGGAAGCGGACATCTCTGGGGAGCTATTCTGCCTACCATACCATCATAATTTGTTAATATGTGAATTACTTTAACAAGTTTGCATAACTGAACACTAACTTTCATTCCTGAAATAAATTCAACTTGATCCTGATTTTTATCTTTTTAACAAATTGCTGGATTTGCTTTAATATTTTGTTCACAATTATTCCATCTTTGTTCAAAAATGAGAATAGCTTGTATCTTTTCCTTTCTTGTCCTATCCTTGCCTGTCTGGGTCTGTCTGTCCATCTATTCATCCATCCCTTCCTTTCTTTTTGAGAGAAAATTGACTACTGACTCATTTTTTAATGGTTTTAGGACCAGATAGGTTTTCCATTTCTCACTGAGTCAGTTTTACTAGTTTGTTTTTTGTTTTTTAAAGATTTTATTTATTTATTTGACAGAGACACAGCAAGAGAGGGAACACAAGCAGGGGGAGTGGGAGAGGGAGAAGCAGGC